CCCTGCTTCCAGATACTCTAATAATACTTCCTAATGAGAGGTGGGCTGAAATTGCACTGGGCTGAGCTGATGGACAGATGTGTACAGGTAACCATAATTGGTCTCCTGGGTTATATCCATGCTTTTGAGTCAGGCTAGTAACGATCGGTAACCATTGACATAATCTTATTTAATGGCTGTTCTGCACAAATACCTCTTTTCCGGCCAAAAATAAGGTTCACAAGATTTTCTCCCCCCCCCTTTTTTTTTTCCTATTGTAGCTTGTGGTGGAGTTTTGAAGGGCATATCGGGGAACTTTACCACTCCTTATTACCCAGCCCACTATCCTCCAAATTTGGATTGTGTATGGAATATAGAGGTAAGAATTCCAGAATACCAGCTCTGTTTTTCATTCTGGGGCCTACAGCATAGACCAGGGGAGAGAATTTCTAACCTGCAGATCATCTGGCTAATTATCAAGGAGTTAAGAGTTGAAAGGGCTTCTCTATGATGTATATTTAAAGTCTGAAAACAGAAAATCTTGTCAAGAGAGTCAACAATGGATGGTGTGGTAGACAACTAAGCTTTCTTTTTTATCATTACTATTTTAATAAGTGCACTTCTAGTCCTCAGGTTGACTTTATTTTGCTTTCTTAAAATATCCATGATAACAAGGCAAGGGAGGCATTGGCAGGGTTCACTCATGTTGCACTAAACTGTAATGTGGTTTGTTTGGTTTGGGTTTAATATAATGTGTGAACTGTTCCAAACTGGCTTATGCAACAAACATGGCTAAACTAAACCATGATTTAATGCAGCATGCGACCCCAACTAAGTTCTGTGTGTGTGTGGATTCACATTCAACATTTTTATTTATTTACTGCATTTATGCCCCACCCTTTCTTTTGAAGCTTAATATAGCTCATATGATGGTATCTCCTAATGTTATTCCTATAACAACTGTCCCTTGGAGCGATGTAGGTTTAGAGTGACCAGCTCAAAGTCATCCAGTGAGCCCTTAGTTGACCCCAACCATCTTGCCCAACCCCTTAACTACTGTCCTATATTGAGTCTGTAGTGCAATGTAATGATTGCATGAATTAAACTTAGTATACCTCTTCTCACACAGAAACATTGGGTGCTCAATTTCATAGAGGCACATGGTTGTCCATTATGAGAAATAGGATGCAGGGGTGACCTAGACTAGTGGAACTCTTTATATGTTCAGTTCGGCAACATGATTATTTAAAATGTTCCCAGTTGCCAAAGTACTTTAAGAAAATGTTGGAAAAGGCAACTAGCTGGGGAGTGATATCAATGTTTATTTCCTCTTTTCTCTCTCCCCCCCACTCCCCCCACCTCCAAATCTCATTCTCAGGTGCCTAGGGGCAAAAATGTAAAATTACGTTTTAATGCATTCTACCTTGAGGAACCTGGTGTCCCACCCAATTCCTGCACCAAAGATTATGTGGAAATCAACGGTATCAGGTAAGAGCCATGGATTCTTAAACTTGTATTACCAGTTCTTGTGTATCTGTTGTGGCAAGAGACAACTGTCTTAGCCACTGACTGCCTTTAAGATGTTTCCTTGCCATCTTTTAGAATAGAAATGTCATAAATAAAAGGTCCCCACTAATACAAAAAAAGTTTCCTTCTACATTACTGTCAGATGATCTGAATAGCTTTGTATTTTGCATAGCTGAAAGGGGAGAATGAGAATGAGAAGACCGTGTCATTTTACTCTGTGTGTGTGCGTGTGTGTGTGTGTTTATGTATCTGTTTATGAATGAATGAATGAATGAATGAATGACCTGTTGATTTTGATCTTCCTGTGGTCCCTTTAGGTATTGTCAGCCAGGCAAGGGATTTGTGGTAATGAGTAATACCAGCAAAATTACAGTTCATTTCCATTCGGATGAATCGCATGTGGACAGTGGCTTTTCGGCTGAGTACTTGTCCTATGACTCCAATGACCGTAAGTGGAGATGCAAAATGTGATATTTTTCAGGGAAGTAGGTGGTGGGTTGTGGCACCTTCTCTGTTAGGAAAGATTGAAACAGTTAGGTAGAGAACAAAAGTCATCTATGGGAGAGATGAAAGTCCTTGCCTGATATGAAGTGTCCTATGGAGAATGTGGGAGAACTGTGTTAGAAGAATGTTGAAGCATCCAGTGATATTGATATAATACATTGAAATTTGGAATGACAGTTAGTAAACTGAATTTTAGCATTTAGTTTCCTGTCTTTTTCCTCCACTCATACTTAGGCACTGCCCAAGGACTGATCCAAAGTTGAATGGTGAGGCCCATTATTTGCATAAGATCTCCGTTTCACCCCCAAGTACAAATTCTATCACTGAGACCCTAGGGAAGTCTTTGCCATTTTTAGTAGATAGATGAAGTAGACAAATAATCTAATCAGTTACAAGATGGCTTTAATCATATTAGTATGATTTGTAGCTCCAGGTTCTAGACCAGATAAACGTGATTTATTCCATAATAAATGAAACCAGATCTAGAATCTCTCCGAGAAGAAGGAGAGGTAAAAAGCTGTAAAGTTTGGCAGTTTGACATGGACTTACAAGCAAGAATGTTAAATTTCTGCACTAAAAATCCCTAAGCCTATACAGTCAGATACGATATTGACACGTTCCTTAATTATTCCATTTGGGTACCTAAGATGCCCTCTGAAGGCATAGATTAGATTATGTCCATGCTTGTCCTAATATTAGGGCTTTTCATTATATACTGTGTTCACATAGAATAATTTCTGGAGATAGCTTTTAAGAGAGTTTCTCCAAGGGTGGCCTTGGGAGTTTCAAAGTGAAATGCCATGGAAAACAGACTTTCCGCAGAGCAAAATTGCAGCTGTTCCATTCAGAAAGGCAAGTGGGATGACTATGATGCTCTTACCTATTTACAACACTAACAAATTTATCTCTTTTCTCTCCCGCTCTCTGTTCCCCATCTCCCCTCCTCTTTATTGACTTGTAGCTTGCCCAGGGAATTTCACCTGTAAAAGTGGCCGTTGTATAAGCAAAAACAGGCGCTGTGATGGGTGGTTTGACTGCCCAGATGCCAGTGATGAGAAAAACTGCAGTGAGTTCTCCTCTTTAGCTCTGTTCAGTGGTGTGGATGATGAGTGCAAGGCATATTCACTTTTTCAGTGGGCTGCATTGCCCACAATGTTCATGCTGTTGGTGGCACTTCCATAATTGCATTGCTGGTCTTTTTCCTCAGATTGTACTGAGAATCAATTCAGATGCCATACTGGTTGGTGCAAGCCAAAATACTGGCTGTGCGATACTGTGAATGACTGTGGGGACAACAGTGATGAGCTGCAGTGCCGTGAGTAATTTTTGTGAGGTGGAGAAATCTAGTGCATGAACAACTGAGTTCACACCTGGCAAGACCTCTTAGTTTGTCTAGCCAGGGTTTCTTAACTAAACCACAGTTTGATGTTTGGCGCAGTATGTTAAATCATGAACTGGGTTTACACAATCTAGGGAGCCCGAAGCACCCAGGTGTAGAGGGAAGAGGGAGTGGCCTTGAGGAATGGGAGAAAGAGCCACTGGCATGGCAGTGGTCAGATAAAAGAGGACTGAGTCTGGGGCAGGAACGTAACCTAAGAAAATGTCTCAGACAAGTCCCTTCCTAGTTCTCATGAAGATAAAGGGAGGGAGCGGAGAAGCACATTCAGACTTGCCAGATTCTGTTACTGTAGCTTTACAATCAAACTAATATTGACCTACATGGCATTGGATTCCTAATCTGATCTAACTTGAAGGGCTGACAACAAACTCTGCTTTGTCTTAGCACAATGATTGAACCCAGAGTCTGGGCGTGATGGGCCTTGGTTGGGGCCTTGCAAAACAGTTCTAGTTTTGAAGCAAACCTGCTGCGTTGGTGGCTGGTGGGAATGGCTTCTTATCTAGCGATGGTAACTTGCAATTTCTCCTTCCATTCCTCAGAATGTTCTGCTGGTAGCTTCAAGTGCAATAACGGCAAATGTATCCCAGAGCAGCAGAAATGCGACGGAAAAACTGACTGTGAAGACGGCAGCGATGAGGGGGCCTGTGGCTCCGGTAAAGGTTGTACAGTAGTTATAAACTCTGGCAAGAGGAGGGGTAAACTCGTGGGCCTGCCGCAAAAATTGTGATTTGTGAGCAGTGGAGGCAGAGGCTGTCTTGTCCACTGTGGTCAGGAAGCAGTAAAGATGGGAGGACTGCTGCCCACCACCTGTGTTCATACCACTGTTCTCCCTGGATGAAGGGGGGGTGTTAGCCCATTGTGCAAACAGTTAAACCCATTCAGAACTGGGTTAAGAAGGTGTTTTAACCCCTAACAGAGCTGCTCAGCTATTTTCCGTCTAACCTTCTTTTCCTGCTACTGGATATAAAGATGAAGTCCTAGCAGTAATGGGGTTTCTTTAGGAACTTTGTTTCTTCCTAATTTCCCCACCACCAGAAGTGGGACATTGGCAGAGGGAATAAAGGTGAACAAGCCTCCTTCCACGCTGTGAAGGCACCAACCCTGATCATTGGGCCATCACTTTTCTTTCAAGATGTTAGAAAATAAAATAAAAATAGGAAGTGACCATTTTTGCAGGACTCAGAGTTCCTCAAAACTGGCCTTTCTCAGTTTGACCAGGACATTGTAACTGAGTGTTTCTCCTAGGCTAGCGTATCATAGGTCACTTATGTCACATGAACATCACCTCTTCTTTTTCTCTGAAGCTTCTCAACACCATGGGTATATTGATCATTGTTTCAGAACCAAGCAAAGACATTTTTATTCTTTCAGACCTTTTCGTATGAGCTCTGCTATGCTGCAATAGAGCCCTTAATTAACCTCATTTCTGTAGCTTTAGTTTCAACTCCATACTGGGTAATTTTTTTAATGACTTGTAATAATAGGGTTCTGGCATAGTTTGTGTTTGAAGCTATTGTTTTTCTTTGGAATTTTCAAGGATGATTTATGAGATGCTTATAAGCCATCTGACAAAAACATATGTTCTGAAAGGTAGCATATAATTTTTCTTAAAAAATTACTCTTACAGCAGCAGACGCCCTTTCCCACAAGAGAGATGGCATTCAGAAAAACAGTCTGTTCTACTTCCTAGAAAGGAAGTAGCCAGGTTCTCTGTGGAGTTGCAATGTTATGGAAAAAATTCAGATACTTCCACACTCCAGTTTGCCTCCAAGGCCTGGGGTCACTCCCCACCCTCCCTGCCCAAACACAAATGTCCCCCCACTAGCCTGGTGTCATCCTCTTCTGGGGCTAAGTTTCTTTCTCTCTGCTTTACTTCAAGCTGCCTCCGTTTCCTGTCAAGAATATACATACAAATGCCGCAACAATCTGTGTGTGAGCAAGAGGAATCCAGAATGTGATGGAGAGGCAGACTGTAATGACAATTCAGATGAAGAGAATTGCAGTGAGTTCCAGTTATACCAATATGGGGAGGCTGATAAGCTGAGAAATGCACAACTTCATGAATGCAGCAATCTTGGAAAATTAAGCTAGCATGCGGTGAAATGCCTGGAAACTTAGAAACCATCTGCTATAGTGATTTAAAAAAACTTTTTTTGGTTTGCAATTGGTGATTTTAGATTGAGTAAGTAGGGCAACCTTCTTTGGTCTGGCCATGTTTGCTTTTCCTGTCTTACCTGGAGACCAGAGAGAATGTGACTAGGGATGTTATAACATTACTCTAGATCTGCTTTGGGGATGTTGGGAGCAGTGTTGATGTGCAGGAGGTCATCATTAGCCAGAGGTACTTATTTTGCCATTATGTGGAAAATTGGCTCACTTTTGGGGAGATTGGGGGGTTTACTTCCATCCCAACATCTTCCAAATATTTTTCACTGCCCTTAATGCAGAAAAGAATGGGTGAAAATGGAGCTTAGTTCTTGCAACGATGTTAAGAGGGGGACAGAATATTGGGAAGTGTTTTCCCCCTCAAAGGATTGTGGGAAAGTCTTGTTTCATTTCTTGACTGATGGCAATGCATGTCTCTGAATTGAGGAGACAAATTTACTCAAGCCTTTTTGGGTGTGTGTGTGAAACTTGTTCCTTGTAGATTGTGGCATCCGTGCCTATAGCAAGCAGTCCCGGATTGTTGGTGGACAGGCCTCTGATGTGGGCGAATGGCCTTGGCAGATTAGTCTGCATGTCAAGAATGAGGGTCATGTCTGTGGGGCTTCCTTGATATCGGACAAGTGGCTGGTCACGGCTGCCCATTGCTTTCTTGAAAAGAACTTCATCAGGTTGGTAGAGGTTTTCGTTCAAGCTTCAGAAGTTAAAAAAGAGTTTAGATTACTTTATTATTATTTTTACATGGCCCTTTTGGAGAGGGTTGGAGGGTCCTTAAAGGTAACATACAGTATATTAAATCAAATAATAATCTCTAGCTTCCTGTAGACCAATCTTTGTGCTTGCCTGTTCCTGGATGTTTCTCTTTTAACTTTGTAGTCACATGAGTGGCCATGCTGAAGAGGGAATAAGGAAGATCCTGGTTCCAGGTTCTCCTCTGCCACAGACTTAGGAGCTTTTCCTTAAAAAATCAGCTGAGCCCTAAACCATAATCCTTTGTGGAATGGAGGATTATAAATGCCTACCTATTTTTTATAAAACTCTTGTACAAATTACTGAAAGACACTAATTCATTTCAGGTGCACAAGAAATCAGTGACTGTATAGTCTTGTTTTCAAGATTATGGAGGTGAATGCACTTCCCCTGTTCTGCCTGTGGATGTTCTACATGTGAGTAAGGTTACTGGAAAACCAGGCCTTGCATCGCATAGAGATACTCCACAAATAAAGGAAGTGCTCCATTTGAGACAGTTACCCTTTCTATGTGAAGGACACTGTAAGAAGGGTGAGCATCACATGATTGTCTCTAGTATATGTCCATGATTTCCTGAATGCCTGAAGAGTGCTTGGTGAAAATCTTCTGAGGAACCATTAAAAGAGCTAAGCATAGGAAAGATATTGTCCAATTAGCATTTTAGACTGGATTGGTATTTTGAACCAACTGCTCTCCTGCTTTGTTTCTTTCCATTGGGAAAGGCTTCATGAACAGAGGGCTGTGGTGCTGCAGCAAATCTGTGTGAAGAAGTGGAAGAAAATACTGGCCTTCTTACCAGAGTCAGACATGAGCTAGATAAGATAATAAGATAAGATAATCATCCAACCCTTGCTGAATTTCTCAAGATCTCAAGATCCATGTGCTATCCAAGCCCCATGCTTTCAAAGATTCTATTAAAAAAACGTTCTTGCTGATTTCACTCTTGTGAAACAAGATACTTTGCTCTGCCCGCAGATATAACGATCCCACGCTGTGGACTGCCTTCCTGGGTCTTCATGATCAGGAGGACAGGTCAAACAGCAAAGTTGAGAAACGGACTATCAAGCAAATCATCACCCACCCATTCTTCAATGACTTCACTTACGACTACGACATTGCTGTGATGGAGCTGTCCAGGCCAGTCTCTTTCTCCAAACAAATCATTCCCATCTGCTTGCCTGATGCCTCCCATGAATTCCCTGCTGGAAAAGCCATCTGGGTGACTGGATGGGGAGCTACTCAAGAAAATGGTGAGTCAAGGAATGGAAAGAGGAGGGGTCTCCTTGGGGAAAGATAGGAGGACAGCTTCAATCTGCAGCTAGTTTTGGACAAAAGTAGATGGATAGGCACGCAGATGACTCCCTCTGAAATGTTTGGATGGTGGCAAAACACCAGAAGATAATCAGCCCTGTGCCATTGGTACAGGTTGCAAAATATTGCCTGCCCACCCCCCCATTTCTTTTCACATACAATATTGTTTCCCCAAAGGCCTAGAGTCCTTGGTAGTGTCTCAAACGTTTAGATCACTTTTGAGATCTGTGGGAATGAGTTCAAGAATATTCCTTGGGCAGCTTCGTAGTTACTAATAGAGCATAATGCAGCCAACTTGGTAGAACAGATTTTTAGGATTATTGCTTCTGGGGTAGAAGGGTGGTATACTTTTTGATTTATGCAGTCTTGGGCTTTCAGAAGGAATACTGGGCATCAGAAATGTCAGCAGAGGAATTGGCATTCTGATTCTGAGCTGGTGATCTGTAAGCTTGTTTAAATGTTAAGCCCTGTTAGATGGCACCTTCTGGTTTATGAAAGCCAGTTCCCTCAATACATTTTGCCCTCACAGACACAATTCTGTTGTCTCTATTTCTGTATTCTCATGGAAGTCCAGGCAGCCACAGTTAGGCATAGGACTAGAATTGCTAGAAAAATTGACCAGGATTTCTCTGAAAATTTTCTCTCAATAGACATACATCTCAAAGTTTAGCTGCTTAGATTTTTAAATCCAAGCCAGAAGCATCTCTCAGTTTATACGTGGAGTTGAAGGGCATCTGTCAAGCAAAAAGTGGTCAATTAAAGACCTCTTGGCTAAGGCAACACAGTGCAGTGGTTAAGATGTTGGATTAGGCCAATCATTCTTTCAACCCAGCTACCTCTGGGCTGTTCTTGTGAAGTTAAAACAGAGATCCTATGTAAGTCACTTAAGCTTCTGAAAGACAGGGACATATAACACCTTCCCAAGGAAAGAGTGGCCAAATACCATATTTTTGAAGGATTGTTTTGGGAAAATGGCACTTGGATTGGTTTAGAGATTAGCCAAATTGTTTAATTCCTTGCAAGGTAGGGATTTCTGCAGAGTCTTTGATAGAAATGTATATATTTCTCATACTCCCTTTTCAAGTGCTGCAAATCTCACCAGTCTATTCTTAAGGGCTCCCCTGCCACCCCCCTGCTGTGATTAGGCTTCCCTGAGTCTCACACAAACCTTTGTGATTTTTGGCAGGCGTTGGGGCCAGAATTTTGCAGAAGGCAGAAATCCGGGTGATCAATCAGACCATGTGTGACTCACTGCTGGCAAATCAAATGACTCCACGCATGATGTGTGTAGGAATCCTGACCGGAGGAATTGATGCTTGCCAGGTGGGTAACTTCGCAATCTCTGACTGAGAGGTGAGGAACTTCAAGCCCTTTAGATGTTGCTGTATGACAATTAACGAGCAGCTCCAGCCAGTCTAACTAAAGATGGCAGAAACTGAGAGTTGTTTAGCAACATCTGGAGGGCTACCAGCTCCTTCACCGTCATTGTAGGTACTTGGCAACAAAGCAGCCACTGAGCATAGTGTGTAGGTTGTGCTTGGCCAATTTCTGCATCATTCTGCTCCTCCTCTTTATCTCCCTCTAAGAAGGCCCAGCCTGTAGAAGTATCGATCCAAATCCTGGTAATTCCTTAGGAGAGAAAAGTTCCCTGAAGTATGAAATGAAGGAAAGGAGTACCAGAGATCTGTTTCTTCATTAACTGCTGCCCCATTTCTTTTTAGGGAGATTCTGGAGGACCACTTGTCAGTGTGGAAGCTAACAATAGGATGTTCTTGGCTGGTGTAGTCAGCTGGGGAGATGGTTGCGCTCGCCGGGACAAGCCAGGAGTCTACACCCGGGTCACCAAGCTACGAAAATGGATCAAAGAAAAATCAGGGGTGTAGGTGGTTTCAGCAACCAGGATTGTTCACACATCTGCCCCCTCACCCAGGTTTGTCAACCTGACCTTTGAAGAAGACTTTCCCGCATGATGTGAAGGGAGCCCTGTGTAATCGTTCCTGCTCTTGTTTTGTTTTTGTTTTCCTGGGACTGGGTGGGGAAGGTTGGCTTGATCGCAAATGACCAGTATGGATTAATTATACATGGACAGTTGTCCCTTTGAGAGCCCTACAACTGCTACTTTCCATGCTTCTGTCTCCTGAGACTACCACAGTGTCTTCATTTGAACACGAACCCATTCTTGACTGGCCTGGAGCTCTACAGCACATCTGCACAGGTGTACAAAGGAAGTTTGGAACAAGTTTGAGATAGGATTGCAGTGGCTCCTCTTTTCCCAAGTCCCAAACAGATGGCAGGGGAGGAAGGTAGACTAAGCTGCCTGTTTGAAAAACTGATTGCAGTGTCTGGGCTTGATGTGCCACTCTTTTCCTTGTTGTGTCCAACACAATCCCATCTGTGATTATCCTAGTGCCTATAACTTTTCCCCCTAAATTCCTTGTTAAGAGTAAACTTACTATGTTTGCTATCCCAGCATGCGATTCTCTGGAACTCTTACAGGGAAGTGGATTATGGCAATTTCCAATATAACTGTGTGGATTGCTTTAGGGCTACAATATTGGGGCTGCAAAAGCTGGATGACCACTAGATGGGAGCAAAGAGATATATCAAAAGCTGTCTTCTGCTCATAGCCAGCGGTGGTTATTTGATAACATGACTTCTTCCCCCCCCTCCCCCGAGTGAACTTCACAATATCTGTGCAGAATTGTCTATAAAATACAGCCTTGTTGTGTTGACAAGGTGAACACTGAAGGTCATACTTGATCTGCAGTGTAGAAGTTGTTTTTTAAGGGAATACTTCCCATCTCTGACTTCACTTCCTTTGTATAATATACTAATCAGAGATGCAGAGACCCGGGGAAGAAAGACAGGAGGGGGCAAGTAGGGAAAATTTCCCCCTCTGAATTTTTCCCTTTTTCTCTTCTTCTTTCCCCTAGTCTTTACATCTCACATATTAGCATCACTTAAATTTAGATCCTTGATTTTTTTTACCACATTACTATCCCTTTGAGCCACTGGGATAAACATTCTGACTGTAGCTTTCCTTGCAGGCAGAGGCAAGTTTCTGCAGTTCTGTTGATTATCAGGTTATCTGTAAACCTCCAAGATGCCTTTGAGGATAAAATCTACAATCAGGAAATAGCCTTTTGCTCTTCTATGCCTGACTGTAAAAGTCCAGTTGAAATATTTGGGAGTGTGGCCTTCTTGCCTTTTCCAAAAATTCTTTTCATAAAGAACAGTTGATCATGGACTTTTCCGACAATCAAAAGCATGATCCTTTCCATCAAGAGTGGAATGTGGTTGATGGAGTGGGAATGAGAGGAGAAGTCAAAGTAGGTGTGTTGGATCTTACATACCTTGCTTGCTTGACTTTCAAAAAGCCAGCACCTTCTGTCTAAGTGGGATCTTAACTGCCTGAACCATCTCTTCAACAAGACGTAATCTCTTGAAAGCACCTCTTGGCTCTTGTAAAATGCTGCGTGTTCCAGATATCCTTCAGGCTTGTTCTCCTGAGCCTCTTGGAAGACATTCTGAGATCTGCAGACCCTTGGCATGGTTGCTCAAGGTTACAAGTGCATTCACAAAATCCAGTTTTCTCCAGTTTTTAGTAGCCTTTTCCCTACTTAGTGGTCCCAGATATGTTGGGCACCAGAATAGGCTGGCTGAGAATTGCAATGCCCAGTCATCTGGAGGGTGCCTGGAAGTCCATCTTAGGACAGACATTGATACGGTACAGATATACTTGAGACGCTGCACTTTTAATTCAGTCCCTCTGCACCTTTTTACCTCATTAGAATGGGATAGATGTAGAGAGATCTATAGAAAATGATGGTGTGTGTATGTGTTCACGGATGTGTGTGTGTTTGTATGGGTGGATTATTTCTTTTTCTGCCCCATTCTGGAGCAGATTGGCATTACCACAATGTGCCTTAATGTACAGCCTTGTTTAATCTATAGTACTCTACAGCATTTCTTTCTCCTTAGGTCCCCCTAGGATTCTTGAGTGGTTGATTGGTGCAAGTTATGCTGGAAGACAGCCGTCTCCAATCTGGGGTTCTCTGAAAGCCTTGTGTTAGCATTCCCATTCCTCCTAGCTATTGGCCAAGCTGGTTAGGTGTTCTGGGAGTTGTAGTCCAATCCTTCTAGAGCAGTGTTCCTCAACCTTGGCAACTTTAAGATGTGTGGACTGCAACTCCCAGCATAGTGGCTGGGGAATTCTGGGAGTTGCAATCCATACATCTTCAAATTGCTAAGCTTGAGAAATACTATTCTAGAGAGTGCCAAGTGGGTTGTGCTTCTAGCATGTGGTGTCAAATGCTGTTTTGCTTCGGTGTTGCTGGCTGCATCAACAGAATTGGAATATTTCTTTGAATAAAATCAGTGCCTCTGTTTACTTAGCCTTAGAACGAAAGAGAAGATGACAGTGGCATTATTTAGGGAATAAACACTACTAAGTAGAGCTAGATGGACGGAGGAAAAATTTTTCTCCAGGCCGATGGGTAAGACTGTTGTATTTCACTGTGCGATTTGTCTTATTTTTACAACTGTGGCTTCTCCAGGACGATTGTTGGTTCTTTACTGCAAAATGTAGTGTTGCTTTGCCCCTGCATTTGCTTCAGTGGCGGTCCAAAGAGTAGATTGGGGAAAACTGAACAGGTTCCTGAAGGAATTGTTCCTTGAACAGAGGGCAAAAATGGGAAGGGGCCTTTTTTTTTCTACGTGAAAACGGTATTTAACGATCTAGGAAATTGTTCACTGTCCCCCATTCTTTAAAGCACAAAGCTACGGAGCGGGACCAACGCAGATCTAATAATTTAACTTTTATTTTATGTTAAAAGAAAGCTTTGCAAAATTGTTTGAAACAAATTGACTCAATTTTACTTCTTATTGTGTTTGTATGTATATAAAGGTTGTATTTTTTTTTAAAATGCTGTAAATAACCTAAATGAAAGAAAACTATATCAAACTTAGTTCCTACCAATACTTCTGCCCTTTTTTATTTTTATTTGAAAACCGAATGGAGATGCCTGATGATTCTTAATCTGTTATTAAACCTGTTTTTTTAAATGGATGTTTCATTTTGATTAGTCATGCTTTATGGGGTTGAAGCATTATTTTCTAAATAATGTTTTTGAATGAAAAGCTGACCTGAGTAAGATCTGGACTGACTCTCCTATAAGCAATGAGAACCTCAGAATTCAGGTTGCAGATTAGGATAAGGCACTTGAGCACAAGGACTGTTGTCAACGTGGCCTGCCAGGTTTTCAAATGGAATGCTATTACTTATTTAATCATGCTTACAGCAAGCAGTGACTAGGTTCACAGAACATTGTTAGCTGAATTATGCAGAAGACAGCATGTTTTGTAAACCTACTCAATACTGGGGCAGCAGGGGGCGGTTTTAACCCAAAATGGTATTGGGGCAATTTTCAGACCCTGGTCAGCCACGTTATACAAAGCTGAAACTCAACAGACAATGGCAAAGCACCATCTCCAAGGGAAAGAGATGGAGTTGTGACTCCATTACAAAGCTTACTGTTACAGGACACATCATTTAACTGGTTACACCAAGCAGTCATGCCTACTGCTGGGCCAGTAGGAAGCACTGCTAATACTTTTCTGGGACAAGGATCTGAGGATACATACAAGCCTTTATCTAGTTAATATGATTGGGTATGCCAAAAGTAAGGAGCTATGATTGCAGTAGTGGGTCTGGATTCAATGTGTTTCACAAATCCAGGCAATTTGCTACCTCCTGGATCAATGCCACATTGAAACCAGGAGATCCTAGCCTGGAATTTTGAAAGAAGGCAATGTTGGAACTATGATAAAGTGTTTAACAAAGAGGGTGCCATTGGTGGAACTCAACTATTAATGAGATGCAGTGTTATTTATGTCATTATTATAAAACTCAGCAGGTGGGTTTGTAGAGAGGAGAAGTATTTCAGAATATGTGAAACCCAATCAGAATGAAAGTGGCCTTTTAAGAACAACTGATCCATGTGAACACAATGACTTGTAGCACTCATGTCCAAAAAAGCAAAGAAATGGATCACACAGACAAGATGACACGGGTTTTCATAACACATTTGCACGTTGATTTATATGTACAGATACAAATAGAGAAATAATTTAGAGGGGGAGAGAGAATGTCTGCAGATCACATGTCCTTTCATTATCCCTGTGCTCAGAGTTTATTGTCAGCTGAGTATCTTGCTGTTCTGTTTTACAGAGATGTTTAATATTTAAATCGCACATGTTTTGGATGAGTCCTTGAACGAAGGGTGCAAAACTGGCATCAGCCTGTCCTGGCTATTGCTTTCTTTTTCTAATTTTTTCTTCCTACTTCATTTTTTTTTAAGATTGGGTTTTTTTAAAGTGACAAATAGCAACAGATGCTCCGGCTATGTGTGGGCCCAACCATTCTGATGCCAGTAGATTTCCTCAATAAATGTTTCAAATAATGGGTTATATCTCTTTCCCATGTATGTGGCATCTTTCAGCTCCACTTCCAGGCTTACAAGAACATTCCTGAACACTTCCATAGTCTGACATGTCCTAGAAGGCATAAATGTAGATAAATTTATGGAATGGTATCTCCATGGACAGATAACTTTTTTCATCTTTGTTGAATTCAGTTGATGGATTGTTTAAATCAGAATGCATATTGCAAGCTCAGAGATCACATGTGCATATGTGTGCATTTGTATGTATGGAAATAGATGATGGATAGAGAGAGAGAGAGAGATGGTAGAAAGAAAAGAAAGAAAAAGGAAGGAAGGAAGGAAGAAAAGAAAGAAAGAAAGAGAAAGAAAGAAAGAAAGAAAGAGAAAGAAAGAAAGAAAGAAAGAGAA